TGTGTGGCCACTGCAGTGAATTATCGAACCCAGGAGAGAGGGGGTGGGTGCTTTGGGAGGAACGGTTGGAGAAAGGGCTGGAGGGAGGCAGCATGTTTGGCCTTGCAGTAATAGGCCTTGGGTTACTGCTGTCTTCCTCTTGTGAGATTAGAGGAGGTCAGAACATGTGGCCTCCTTGCCGTTTTTATAGTTGGTGTCAGTTGGTGTCTGTTGATGGCACTATCTATATGTGTGTGTGTGTGTGTGTGTATGTAAATTGATTGAAATTTAATTGTGTCCCCCCAAAAGAATGTATCCTAATCACTGTAGAACTAAAATGACCCTGTTTGGAAGTAGGGCCTTTCTTTTGTTATGTTAATGAGACGATACCTGAGTAGGGTGTTCCTAAACCTAATCACTTCTGAGTGGTGTCTTATAAAAAAGCACAGAATAGATACAGGCACATGCACACATGCACACATATACACAGGAGAGAGTCCATGTAATTCACATACATCTAGATATAGCAAAGGAACACTAAGATTGTGGCAGTCACCAGGAACTAAGAGAATGGTCCATAGAAGGAATCAACATGGCTGAGACCCTGCTTTGGACTTTTCGCATTCAGAACTGTGAGAACATAAATTTCTGTTCTTTAAAGCCACACACTTACTGAATTTTTTGTCACAGCAGCACTAGGTAACTAAAACATATATCTATGTTATTGGGACATTTTATGTAATGGTGCCTGCTCTGCCACTTGGCAGACTGACTGAAGACACTTTTTGAATCAGTCTAGGAAGAATGCCTGGTGTTTTGGGTTCACATTTAATAACACATTGGCTTTGAATGTCATTACCCTCAGTGCTGAAAACAGCAATGTAAATGAAACCACAGAGGAGAAAGCATTTTCAATTAACTGGTCTTACCTCTATTTCCTGATACGAGTTGTTGATCATTGCTATTAGCATATTGAGCAGCACTACCACCATGGTGACATTATAAACACCATAGAGAATATAGCCTATGTTCTCGATGAATTTGTGGTCGTATTTCAGCACCACCGAGATCACTTCAGACAAGCCAAATATGGACCAAAATAAGGTTTTAAAACTTTCTTCAACCCTACAAGAAAACAGACAGTGCTTTTATGAAACTTGTATTAAGCTAACACTATTCACTTTGTTGGTTACTGGGTGTGGGAGGGAAGGGGAGGGAAAGTTTCTAACTAGTTAAGAGTTCCATATTGATTTGGGTGAAGGGAGAGGCAATGTAACAAAAGTGTGTGGCCAGCACAATGACAATAGGGAAAAGGAGGACACAGAAACATGTGTAGGAGATATAGACAACAGAGACAAATACTATTACATGCATAATACTGCATTACCAGTGGCAGGAAACACTAGGCTATCTATGGGTAAATGCACAGACAAGTGAGAAGATCAGGACTGGATAGGCAAAAAGGAATATACCCAAGACCAAGGATAGATTTGGCTGAAGGTAGTCTTACATATGTACTTGTGCTACAAAATTATCCATATACATTACAGAAGTAACACAGGACAAGGTTGGAACAGCTTCTCAGAGACAACCAAACACCTTGAAGGAATTACCAGTCCTGTAGGCTTGGGACCATAGTCTTGGGGGACATCAGGCTCAACTGGTACAATGTAGTACCTAAAAGTCTTGTTCTATATCCTACTTTGGTGAGTAGTGAGCGACTAGGGTTTTAAAAGCTTTTGAGTGGCCATCTAAGGTGCAACTATTGGTCTCCCCTCATCCGAATCAAAGAAGAGTGAGGAAAATCAAAGTCATGTGGAAACAGTCCGAAGATCTGATGGATTATAAGGACCTCACCCTTCATAACTGTGGTGGTTATGTTTGTATGGCAACTTGGCTGGGCCTGGTTGAGTGGTGGGGCAGTGGCGGGAATACATAGTATTCCCCATGATGAGACTGGCAATCAACTCCATGGTGGGATCTACCACAAGCAGTTGAGTAGCTGCCTTTGGGTATGTGATCTGCTTCCTGTATATAAGGAGAAGCTTTGAGAATGGTCTCTAGCCTTTGGCATGCTTGGACCCTGCATGTAGCTGTGTCGTTGTTCAGCAGCCTGCTATGCTCTGCCAACCCTGGGGTTTACAATGGACTTAAATTAATGGCCTGCCATGTGGTTTGGTGACACTGGGACTGTGCCTTTTTACTTGTCAACCTTGGACTTCTCAGCCTCAGCAGCCTGCAGCTGTCTGAGTGAAGAAATGCCTCTGGCTCCAGTGGGCCGGGAGCAGGAGGCAGAGCTGGACCCCAAGGTTGAAGGGCTGTCACCCAGCCCCTAGAGCCTGGGACTTTGAACTTGAACTTAAAGCCTCCTAATTGTAAGAATAAACTGTTTGTTTAAGCCATCCCACTTGTGGTATATTCTTGTCAGAGCAGCACTAGGTAACCAGAACAATGACCCTTAGACCAGAAGAACTAGATAGTGTCTGTCTACCAATGCCAACTAGTCAGAAAGGGATCAAAATTAGAGATCCTAGATAGAGTGGGAGGAAAAATGTGGCACAAAATTCAAAAACACAAAAATGACCAGAATTACTGGTTGGATAGAGACTGGTGGAACCCCTGAGACTATGGCCCCAGGTTATGTTTTGAGCCTGGAAATGGACTCACTTCCATGGATGAGCTCTCAGCCCAACAGCAGAAAGACCTACACCTACCCCAGGGAGAGGTACCCACATAACCCTAGGGAGATGCACCCCTTAGATAAATCAACGATGAGACGTGAGGAAAGCAGTATTCACAGAGGGAAAGATGGACAATAAGAATGGTACAGGGAAGGGGTAGTCACAGGGAGGAGATGATAGGAGAGTTTTTTATGGTTGGGGATGGTAATCAGGGCCATGAAGGCAAATGAGCATAAATTGTTGAGAGTAAAATGAATCTGCTTTGTAAATTTAGACCCAAACCACAATAAAAAATTTTAAAAGTAAATAATAAAATGAAAGATGCCATTACCCAGGGTTTGGTGGTTAGTCTGGAGTGGGGCTGGGGCTGGGGGGTTGTTGGTGCCTATATTGTAAAATAATGACATATTCAAATTTATTAAGAATACTTTGAAGGAAGACTTTACATTGCAAGCTCTTTGCTTTTCATTCAATCCATTTATTGGGACTCCTGGCTGTGGAACCATTTTTATCTTGCTTTAATTAATTAAACATTTAAAATTAAATACCAGAGAAAATGTTTGTTTTTGTATGTGATTAGTCTTAGAAAGTATGCTCTTCCTTCAATAGTCTCTTGAGAGTCTCCTCTCAGATACACATCCCCATGTGGAGGGGAGCTTTGGCAGTTACTTGGGGAAGTAGGTGGCAATAAAACTGGTGCCCACTGAACGAGCTAGCAGCAACTGTGCCTGGCACTTACTGGGCACTTGACACAGAGTAGCTCATTTAGGCCTCATTACCATCCTCCATTTACAGATGGAAAAACTGAAGTGCAGAAATTTAAGTGCCTTTCCTTGTGGCACATAGATGGAAAGTAGAGTGCGAATCCAGTGTCTGAGGATTTCAAAAGCATGCATATATATACACATATATATATATATATATATATATGTATATGCATATATATTTAAATTTGTTATGGTAAAATATATGCAACATAATATTTGCCATTTAAACCATTGTTAAGTGTACAAGTCAGTGATGTTAATTATATTCACCATATTCTCAACTATCACCAGTATTTATTTGCAAATATTTTTCATCAACTTCAACATAATTCAGTACCCTTAAATAATAACTCCCTCTTGCCTCCTTACCCCAGCCCCTGATAACCAGTAATGAACATTTGTCTCTATGCATTTGCCTTTTCTGGTTATTTCATGTAAGTGGGATCACATTATACTTGATCTTTTGTGTCTGACTTGCTTCGCACGGCATAAGGTTTTCAAGGTTCATTGACACAGCACAAACCATGCACTCTGAACTACATGACTTTAACCTTCCCGGCTCTGGGTAGTGACGCCAAGCATAGTCTTCTAGATTGGGCTGAACTGTCAGGGTGAGAGTGTTGAAGTTGGTATGCTCACACCGTATACTTTTACCAGGTAACTGCCCAAACCTCACTCTGCAGCTCATTTAGTGCAGGCATTGCATGTGCATTGAGGGTCAGCTCAAGTAAGATCTGGCTTTTAGGACACTGTTCTTGATTTTAAGACTATGAAGTTACCAACATACACCAGTTTTAAGAATAAGGCCTGGGCCTATTTCATAATCTGTATTTTGTAGCTATGCCCAGGTAATGGCTATGAGGAATATAAACATATCCATGTTTATACATAGAATCCAATCAGAAAGCTGGGTAATTTAAAAGCATGCAGGTACATCTGACAACATTTGGATGGCGAAGTGCAATTCGTTTAGTTTGCATCCAGACTTTTGGTACCATTATGAGAAAGCAGTTTTTTTTTTTTTTTTTCTTCTTCTCCTTAACATTTCGGGTTTTCATCATCCACCCACAAATGGCCAGGATTAGCTAGTTCTGAGGAAAAAAAAAAAATCACTGCATTTCTTAAGGGTTGGTATTTATTTGACAAGATATAAAAAAATACTAGTACTCGTCACTTTGGCTAAAAATCCAACTCTGACTTGCATGAATTTTCAGCTCTCCTGGGTGCGAGCATGTGTGTATGGATGTGTGTGAATGTGTTTGTGGATGTGTGTGTAGATGTGCGTGTATGTGTGTGCCTAGCCAGCTATTTGGCTCATTCCTTATGCATCCCAGAGTCTGAAAAAGTGATATTTGAAATGGGTTTTTGTTGTCATTATCTGTTTTTGTTTTCTTGTTAAACTGTGAATTTGGTATGTGTAATCCATTTCAATGTTGTGAAAAGGAATTTAGTTGAGTATTTGGAGCCTTTATTTTAGAGCTGGCTCCTGATACGATCCCGAGAAAGGGAAATTGCTTCCTTGTTGAAGACAAAGGGTCTGTTTTGTGTGAAAAGGACACCATTCCATGTGTGGGCATGACTCCCTGCAGGTATTGTCTTCAATTATGACACCCTCTTTCAGTTATCACCCTCGTGGGAGGGAACAGTGGCAGAGAAAATCCAAAACCACTGGATGAGCCCCAGATCCCACACTGGAAGGAGAAGGCAGGATGTGATCGCTCTGGCAGGATCAGGTGAAAACTGGAGGGTGCTCTAGCTGAGCAAGGGGCTGGGCCAGAACAAACGGAAACTACTAGTGACTGAGAGATATTTTTACAGATATTCATCTTTCCTGTCTTACTTTAGAAAACGTCATAAACCTTTTGCTGACTCCTAATGGAGCATAACAATTAATAGAACATATTCAGGGAAATCTCTTTGAATTTTGATCAGGGAAAATGGGCTCAGATGCTATACACACACACACACACACATGCATATTTTCATTGTTTCTTGCTATGAATTTTTGTCACTGAGTCCTGATTTACCCTTGGTGCCTTAACTTAAATATTCTATGTCAATAATTTGAATGACACAGACTTGGCCAAATCAAGGAGTGTGTGTTTCAGTATAAAAATATTTATCAAGTCCTAAATCTCTGTCTCAGCTCCTCCTCCACTCGACTGACAAACAATGTCTCTAGTCCTGAGCTCCCCAGCTGAGGACAATGAACCTGGCTTTGAATGCTGATCTGTTCGATTTGTTATGTGGAAGTCAATCTTTACTACTGTACACCTATTTCATTTCTATTCTGTAGCTTAAGGATTAACCTCCAGTCTTGAACTTGGCCATGATCTCCAGGAAAATCTAATTACAAAAGGCCCAGACTTGCCAGGACTGCCATAGTGAAAGTTTCCCCCTACAGAGCAATAACCTACTACACCAAACTGGGCAGAAGGGTCTTAGCCAAACTATGCATTTCTGTCTGTAGTCTTTGCATCTTTTTTTTTTTTTTTTTTTAAACTGGGAAAAAAAGAGTTGAGTTTACAAAGTCCTCCCTGAAAGAAAAAGTGGGTCATTTGGCCTACATTCACTATTTGAGAATCTTGGGTCTTTCATGTGTACCTACTCCTCTTGACATGAACATTTATTTAATGGACTAACCAAACAGACTAACTTTGTTTTTTTATATTAGAGG